GTAGAAGAAATATAGATCTTAGAGCGCGAACGCAACTTCCCTCCCAGTGAACAGACGTCCTTCTTGCCGCCGCATTAGAAGCCAAAGAGGACCTTGAGCTCGTCGTAGAGCACGAGAAGCAGCGCACTGCCGGTGCCGCGAATGACGTTGGAGCCCGCGCCTTTAAAGAACGCACTCGCACCTTCGTCCTTGAGGATTTTGCCCCAGCAATGGAGCGTCGACGTGTACAAGACGTCGGTGCGACCCGCCTGCATCATCATGCGCCGACGCACCGTGTCGAACGGGTATGCGACGAAGCCCGCGCCGGTGCTAACGGCTTGGGCAGCGACCCACTTTTGCCAGAGCGGCGCGGTCGCACCCCCGAGCACATCGCGACACGTGTCGTAGCCGCCAAAGAACGCCGCACGGTAGACAACGATGCCGCCAACCGAGACGCTGAAGCCTCGGTACAAGCCCTTGACGCCGTCCGACTTGTAGATCTTAGAGAGGCAGTCGACGAGGCCGTTGTAGAGGCGCGACTTGCCCACGCCGACGTCCGCACCGAGGCGCGTCCGGGCAAAGTCGAGCGGGTACACGAAAGCGAGAGTCGTCGCCCCCGCGGCGCCACCGGCCGCGAGGTTGCCAAAGAAGAAGCGCCCGAACTGGTCCTTCTGAACGCCATGCAGGAAAAAGGCCTTGTACTTGTCCTTGAGCGCAAAGTTGAAGGCTTGGGTCGGGAAGTACCGGATGACGTTGGCACCGTTACCGCGCCAGAGCGACGCGACGCCCTGCTCCTTGGTGAGCCGTGTGAGGCAGTCGAGAATGCCCGTGTACGGCGTTTTGATCTGCGTCGACGTGGCTTGGACCTGGAGGAGGAGCTTGACGCGCTCAATAGGCGCGACCGCGGTCTGGGAGATGGCCCCCGCCAGCCCCCCCGCGAGAAGGTCGGTCGCGAAGGAAGCTTTAGGAGAAGCGGTGGACGTCATGCTTTCAATTTGAAAATGGAACTTGGCCACAGCGTCCACAAATGGTCCACAAGCAGGGTCGGAATGCGAGTGATCACGAAGGAGTTCGACATCGATACACAGCTGTCACCCCGTGTTATCACGACTACCGGTAGTCGGGCTGCTGTACTAGGAATAGATTTCTCTGTTCATCTATTCATCGACAATACAATTGCACCTCTCGACCTACTAGTATGTTGAACGCCAGCAGCGAGGTCCAGACAGCACGGGGCCTCTCTTCCTTTGGGAAGTTTAGTTCAACGAGAGTGTATTACGGCCGCCTCGTTGGTGGTGCCAATCATAATCATGGCACTGCAGCTTCAGATGGCTTGGAATGAAGATGTCTCATCCGTCCCCACCAACTGAAATTTGCCGGCGTGAGAAGCCCCAAAGGGCGACGCGAGTGCTTCGCGCAGCTAGCAGAGTGCTCCCTTCTACTATGTCGGCAACGTGGACTTGTGTTTGGCGAGCAGAGGTAATGGCCCATCTCCTGCATGATGTGATCCGCCAGTGCGTTTACGCCGCGCAGACAAAGTTGACAGCAACAGGGTTGGTTTTTACTGCACGTTGGCTCTACCAAGGGATCCCTATTTCGCTACCATTGCCGGCAGTGCAATATGCGTGCTCTATCACAAGCTCTTGTCTTGCTCTCACGAGTCGGTTCAAGGCACTTGACGCAAAATCGATGCTCGGAACCATATAGAAATGCGGGCTCGGAACGGCACCACATCGATGCAACGCGGGCGTGCCACGTCATGACGATGGCCATCGAATTCACTGCCATCTGATCGCGGCCGGTTCGATCTGCGATGCTGGCACATCCTCGGAGCAACGCCGTGCATGTCTTCAACCGACCGCGGCAAGCGCTTTGAGCCATAGAGTCTCTGCAGACCTAGAGACCTTCAGAGATACGTTGCGAGCCCAATTCCACAAGGCAAGCTCTTGTCGACAGCAGTAGCGCTGCTCGCTGCAGCTTCGAGAGCAAACAGATCTGAGTGCAGCATATAAGATCGCAGAGCAGCAGACTCTGGACCTGAGCGCACTGACGTCGGCGTGTGCTCACGAGCCCGCGACATGTGCTGGACAGTATCCGGGCTGCTAACGTCTTTAGTGGGTGCAGAGATGATCTGTTGGGTGCAGAATTGTCTGCCAAGAGCAACAGGAAATAAGAAATGAGGTGTGCAAGGCCGAGCCATGTTCTATTATAGCAAGGAGGATAGCACAGATCTAGATCTTCGATTTGCTAACACAAAAGGAATAATTTATTCCGACGACGAGCCGCCCTCAAAGCCCATCATGGCCTTGAATTCGTCGTACATGACGAGGACGAGGGCACCACCCGTACCACGGATGATGTTGGAGCCAGCGCCCTTGAAGAAGGCACCGGCGCCTTCGTCCTTCATGATCTTGCCCCAGCAGTGGAGCGTCGACGTGTACATGATGTCGGCGCGGCCAGCCTGCATCATCATGCGACGGCGGACCGTGTCGAACGGGTACGAGAGGATACCGGCGAACGTCGTGACGACCTGGGCGACCGCCCACTTCTGCCAGATGGGGGCGTTCTTGGGGTCGGCGATGAGGATATCACGGAAGGTATCGTAACCGCCGAAGAAGGCAGCACGGTAGACGATGATACCGCCGACCGAGACGCCGAAACCACCGTAGAGGCCCTTGGCGCCATCCGACTTGTACACCTTGGTGATGCAGTCGACGAGGCCGTTGTACTGGCGCGACTTGCCGACACCGACATCGGCACCGAGGCGCGTACGCGCGAAATCGAGCGGGTACACGAAGAGGAGCGAGGTCGCGCCGGCGGCACCACCCGAGGCAAGGTTGCCCATGAAGAAGCGCCAGAACTGGTCCTTCTTGACGCCATCGAGGAAGAGCTTCTTGTACTTGTCCTTGAAGGCGAAGTTGAGCGCCTGCGTCGGGAAGTACCGGATGACGTTGGCGGCGTTACCGCGCCAGAACGACGACACACCCTGCTCCTTGGCGACACGCGTGAAGCAGTTGATGATGCCCGTGTACGGGTCCTTGATCTGCGTCGAGGCAGCCTGGACCTGGAGGAGGAGCTTGACGCGCTCAATGGGGGCGACGACGGTCTTGGAGATACCGCCGGCGACACCACCGGCCGCGAGATCCGTGAGGAAGGACACGACGCCCGACTCCTTCTTGTCGGCGGCCGTGGCCAACGGCTTCAAGTTAGCGTACTGGGTGAACATCTTGTGTCTTGGGCAAAATGCGAAGTGAGCTCCGACTTTGCCCTACGTGGCGACGCCTTTGCTGGCCACTGATTTTGGCGTCGGGCCGCAACTTTGCTGAAGGGCGGGAACGACATCGGATTGGCCAAAATCCATGTAACCAACAATTTCTGCGCCTCCGATTGGCCCGAGATGTGTGGCCAGGTGCTATTGACGGAGCGGTCTTTTAGACTCGATGTTTGTATCAGAATCCGTGGTTTTTTAAATAAATTGCCGAGGGGAACGGAAAGACGACGTGTTTCGTCAGCGCCTGCGACACGCGCGCCGACGGCGACAACGGAAGTCTCCTCCTTCGCCACTCGCCATCGCTTGGTGGCAAACACTTGTACCTGTCGACGCCAAGAAAACCACATTGACGATGACCACGATGGCGGCGATGACCACGATGGCCATGTCCTCGGACGACGCCGCTGCAACCGACAAGGGCAACCGACCTTGCAACTGACGTGGCAACGGCTGTGAGCGGCAAGCACACGATCTCGGTCGGCTTTTCTCGCTGCAACGACCCGTGCCGGCGGTTGCAGCAAAGCCGAAACGACGACGAGCCAGCGACGACGAGCCAGCGACTACCGTGACCACCTCGCCGTGCGACCTGCAGCGCCAGCCACGCCAACGAGTCACCAGTCTCACACCCAAGACTACTCCCCAAGGCTCGAGTTGCTGCGCTGGTTTGTGGTGACCCAGGTGGACTTGCACCAAGTCCTAGCGTCGTCATTGTCTTTGGACACTTTGCATGGCGGTGTCGATACGACTGCGGGATACCGGCGATTATAGGTGCGCTAACCGCCGCTGGTGCTTGTGCAGCGCAATGGAGCTTGCAGTTTATGTCTCGCCAGCCGCACATATGCCTGCTCGTAGGGCATGCGCTCCACGGCAGGCAGTGGGTGGTGTATCGTCTCGTATGGTAGACGTCGAAGAGACCTTGCAGAGGTGTACGGAAGTCGTTGCCTGTCGCGAGACGAGCCCTGCACGAGCATTGGACATGAGCAGCATCTTGTAGCAGAAGATCCTAGAGGACACGCGCATCCTTGGAGCAGCTTCGCCACCGGCAGAGGCGACGGAGCGGGGCGCTGCCGAGCCCCGATGCCACATCACAGTCAGTTGAGCCTGGTCCGGCTTCACTTCAACGTGGCGGCAAATGATGATGGTGAAAGGTCCTGTCTTGCATCGACGTTTGTATTACGTAATCGGTGACGAGGCAGACGTGGTCCGACCGTGACGCGCCGAAATTAGTAAAATTCGGCATCGCGACCGGTTTTTACAGCACGGTTAGCGGTTACCTAACGGCTACAGAATCACTCGGAACGTGAGCACGCGGCTTTGAGCCGATTAGAAGAGGTCAATGGCATCCGCGATCGAGGCTGTGCCACGTACGAGCCTGTCCTGTGGCACCGCTTGCTCGGCGGTCAAGCAGCTCGATGGGATGAACACGGTCACGAGACCGTCGCCCGAGTCGAGTATGCGTAGGCGCAATAAGACCGGTGTGCCCCGGATGCGCCTCGCCCACCGCAGCGAGGCTGGGCGGCGGCGCGCCTTGGCCCGCACGCAGTACTGCAAGAAGACCACGGCGGTCACAATGTCCTTGTACACGCGCTGGGCCACGAGTCGCTTGATATGGGACTGGATCTTGACGGCGGCGCGCGTGAGCCGAAGCTGGAGCAGCGCCCGCGATGCGACCCACCGCTGCATGTCGTACGGCGTCCGCATGCGCGTGCTGCATGCAATCGATAGCGTCGCTGGGCGCGGCTGTAGGAGGAGCGAGGCCTTGGGCAACGTCGACGCTGGCACTGCGTGCACCACAAGCGTCGTCGGGTCTTGAAACCACCGAAATACGTCAAACGGAGGCTGCGTGCAGAGCATCGTGGAGGGCACGGCGCCCCATACTCGTAGCGTGAGCGCTCGGTCGTACAGGACGTTTCGGAAGCAGCTGCGACCGCGGTAGCCGCGCCATTGGCACTGAAGCCGCGTGCACGCCTACCGAGTTGCAGGCCCGACAATTCGATAGAAAAAGGAGTCTACGTTGGATTTGAAGTGGCGCACGCGTGCCTCCAAGTCGTTTTGGGCGCGCTGGGTCGCTCGGCGCAGCGCCACGGACGCTGCCAGCTGTGCGCACTGCCCCCGGAGGCGGGAGAGGCGCTTGTGCTCGCCTTCGAGAAATGCTGCCCACGCCACTTGCATCGGCGGCATCTTGGCGACGACGCGCCCGCGCGGTGCAAGCCCCGCAAAGACGAGCTCGTACCCGTTGGTGGTGTGCTCTATATAGAGCTGTCGCGCGAGCGCTTCGAAGAGCGATGGCCACTTGTGGGGCTCCTACAGTACGTCGGTGCGACCTGCCGACCTCAAGAGACACTGACCAAGACGTCCGAGCAAAACGTCGGCGACGCCGCGGATCGCAAGTGACTTGATGGCACATTCGTCGTATGCAGTACATTGGCGCAGACGTCGTAAGCGCGTACTTCGAGATGGTACTCGATCGTCACCTAGGACGTCCAACCATCAACCCGACAAGGAACGAGTCCGAGCACTCGCACGTGCATGGCCAAGAGACATCGAAACGGCATGTCGCCGCCTTTGTAATAGAGCACCGTCGACGCTCGGTAGACGCAAGGAAAGCGAATATGCCAGTGATGGCGCACCTACGACCTCTCAGTTCTTAGATCGAAATCAAGATCGCACGCTGGCGCGCAGGCGGTGACGAAGGACTGTGGTAAACCACATGGACCAATGAGCGAGGCCGACGACAGAGGCGGTTGGGAGCTACGGAGTCGTACACATTGTGTGCCTCCATGCCCGCAGTTAAGGGCGTTGCATACATCTCGCTTCAAGTAGAGCGGTGGCGACGCGAGCCGTTGCAGGTCGATGGCGCTGAGGAAGAGGTCTTGGGTCGTCGCGCTCTGCGGTTCATAGAGGCGCACGCAAAGTGTCTTGGTGGTTGCGTCGCTTTCGTAGAGGCTCACGAGGACGCGAGCTCCGTTGAGGAGAGCGTACGCCCTTGTGTACATGTGCATGGGGTCGCGCCGTAAAAACATCGAGTGGCGGTGCGGCACAGGCTCCGAGACAGCGCTCGTAGTTGTCAACCGCTGTGGCAGTGGCGCCATTGACGCCAGAGTCGCCACAACGGGTATACTTGGTTTGACTGGCACCGATCGGCTCTTAAACCGCATGAGAGCACCGTCGACCTTGACGACGACAACGCCAGGCGCTTCTTCTTTGAGCTCTTTGACCGCGAGACGGCTCAGCGTCAACTGCGCATGATTCAAAAGCCGCGTGCATCCCGCGCGAAGCTCTGGTGCGCTAACACAGATCTTAGGCGTGTTTACCATTTTGTGGCGTACAGCGCTGGCTCGTGGAGAAAATGCAAGTCGAATTCCGTGTGCAAGGACGCCCACGTGTGCTCCAAGAACGTCTTTTGAGCCCTCGAGAGCGTTTTCTACTGACAAACTAGTTAGTTCACTAGGCTCGTTGTCGATATAAAGAGTGCCTTCGGTGATTTGGACGGGGACGATGACGACGACGCCGACGACGAATGGTCCAACGTCTACCATGCATCATGACGCACTGCAATGATTGCCTCTTCTCTACCTTGAGCTTGGTCAAGAGCTCTTGAAGCCGTCGCATCCAAGCTTCAATGGGCTGTTCCGTCTGTTCTCGGCCATGCTTGGGGCCTCTTCGTCCGGCGGCAGGAGCTCGCGCCACCGCGGTGATGACAGCCTTTGTCGCTGGTTTAAGAGAAGGCACGGAGCTTTGGTTGTTTGGTTCGATGGCCGGTGCGATAATCGGTAGAGGGCTCAAGGCCACGGTAGGACGCTTCTTTGCTTGCTTTCTTTTGATAGCGATCGGCTTGGGTGGGGACGCCCGTCGCGGCAGGTTCTCGATGCGCGGAGCAAAGCGCTTGTTGGCCAAGATCGCGCTCGGCATCTACGACGCCATTGCTCAGACTCGGCTTGTATCAATCTATCGACCTTGGCGCCGCACGACGGGCAGAAGCGGGCGATGATGCGGCACGTGTCATGGCACTCGGCGCAGCGCGAGTCCGGCGTCGTGTGCATATCTTGGCGTGAATCGTCACGGCCTCTGATTGGTCCACCCGAATTGTCCGGAAAACGTCCGGAAAAAGATTGTGCCATGGACGCGGAGGAGGCCGTCGTGGCGAGGGACATGGCCAGCTTCCTGCGGCAGGACGTGCTTGACGGGCTCGCGAGCACGAAGGAAGCGCTCATCCAGGCCGAGTCGCGCTGGATGCGCATGCAGGGCCAGGAGCAGGCGACGGGCAAGTCAATGAAGGCGACCGTCAAGACCGAGGTAACCCCAAGCGGGCCATTCCAGACATGGCTCCGACGAGCGTACTATTGCTACAGGGTGCGTCCATCTTGGAAGCCGACATTGAGCTCAACCTGCGGCGCGGATACCTCGTCAACTCCAAGTAACGACTCATTCGACGATGACAACGACGATGCATATGCTCGCTTGCTAGGCTACATGCGCCGTGTGTCTTGGACCAGCTCCTCGAGTTCCACCGTCTCTTGCACACGCAGTACCGCGCGATT